AAGGTGCTCAATGCAAATTATATAGCGAGGAACCTAAATCTAGAAATGGATGGGAAGATTATAAAAACAGACTTAGTGGTTCTAGATATGAGAGATTTTGATGTTATACTTGGGATGGACTGGTCGTAAAAAAATCATGCAACCATTCATTGTTTCGAGAAGGATGTAATTTTTCAACGACCTGGTGAAGAAGTATTTCATTTCTTTGAAACAAGGGTGAAACCTCTACCTCAACTTATATCAGCAGTACAGGCTGTACGCTTGTTGAAAAAGAAGTCAGCTCAAGGATTCTTAGTGTCATTTACCAGCACTGATCAGAAAGAGTTAACCATTGACGAAGTCCCAATGGTTAAGAATTTTTCAGATGTATTTCCAGAAGATTCACCAGGAATGCCTCCAAATCGAGAGATAGAGTTCACTATTGACCTTGTACCAGGTGCCACACCAATTTCAAAGGCCCCTTATCGTATGGCACCAGTAGAACTTCAAGAATTGAAAGTACAATTGCAAGAGTTACTAGACAAGGGTTTTATTAGACCCAGTGTCTCACCATGGGAAGCTCCAATATTGTTCGTGAAGAAGAAGGATGGATCGATGAGAATGTGTATCGATTATCGAGAGTTGAACCGTATTACAATAAAAAATAAATATCCCCTTCCTAGAATTGAAGATTTATTTGACCAGCTACAAGGTGCCAAGATCTTCTCCAAAATTGATTTAAGATCAGGCTATCATCAGTTGAAAATTAAATCAACTGACGTTCCTAAGACGGCATTTAGGACTCGATATGGGCACTATGAGTTCTTGGTGATGCCCTTTGGCTTGACAAATGCGCCAACAGTCATCATGAATCGAATTTTTCACAACTATCTGGATCAGTTTGTTATCGTCTTCATTGGTGACATACTAATCTATTCAAAGAGTGAGTATGAACACACGGAACACCTAAGGATTATTCTTGAAATATTGAGGAAGGAAAAGCTATATGCTAAATTCAAAAAGTGCGAATTTTGGCTCAATAGAGTGGGATTTTTAGGCCACATAATTACAGCCCAAGGAATTGAAGTCGACCCAAGTAAAGTGGAAGCAATTACCAATTGGCCTCGACCAACTAATGTTAGAAAAGTGTGAAACTTCTTGGGATTAGCAGGTTACTATAGGCGATTTATTGAAGGATTTTCGAAGATTGCCATCCCAATGACTCAGTTAGAGGAAAAACGTGAAGTTTCAATGGACGGATAGATGCGAACAGAGCTTTCAGGAATTAAAACAGAAATTGATCTCAGCTCCAGTTTTGACCATACCCAAAGGGTCAAAAGGCTTCATTATCTATAGCGATGCATCTAAGCAGGGTCTAAGATGTGTACTTATGCAACATGGTAAATTTATCACATATACTTCTAGACAACTAAAGTCGTATGAAGAAAACTATCTGAGACATGACCTGGAGTTAGCAACAGCAGTTCATGCACTGAAGATATGGCGACACTATCTCTACGAAGCTAAATGTGATATTTACACGGACCACGAGAGTCTAAAGTATTTCTTCACCAAAAAAGAATTGAACATGAGACAACGTAGATGGCTAGAATTGATAAAAGATTATGATTGTGCCATTCATTATCATCCAAGAAAGGCCAATGTAGTTGCTGATGCATTAAGTAGAAAGATAGCAAGACATTTGACGGCTTTTCCTACTACACAGAAATCATTAATCAAATATATCAATAACTTACAACTTGAGGTGATCATACCTCCAGCAGATAATGCAGCATGAATTGCTACCCTCACAGTTCAACCTACTATTCGAGACAGAATTAAGAAAGCTCAGGATAGTGATCCATTTCTACAAAAGATTAAAGGTGAAGTTGGCACTAGCAAACGAAAAAGTTTTGAGTTAGCTGAAAACAACACATTGATGTTTCAAGGAAGATTGCGTGTACCAAAGGATAAAGATATACGAAAAGAAATATTAGAAGAAGCTCATTTCGCCCCATATGCAGCACATCCTGTTGGAACAAAGATGTATAAAGACCTTCAAAGCTCATTCTGGTGGCGAAATATGAAAAGAGAAATAGGTCTATTTGTAGAGAAGTGCATGGTTTGTCAACAAGTGAAAGCAGAACATCAAAGATCATTAGGATTATTAAACCCACTAGAGATTCCTGAACGGAAATGGGAGCACATTGCTATGGATTTTGTAATTGGTTTTCCAAAATCAAATAAAGGAAATGATGCAATCTCAGTTATTATTGATAGATTAACAAAGTCAGCTCACTTCTTACCAGTAAAAATGGCCTTTAATATAGATCAATTAGCTCAGCTATATGTTAGAGAAGTGATCAAATTACATGGGACCCCAGTCTCAATTGTGTTAGACAGAGATCCAAGATTTACTTCAAAATTTTGGAAAGGTATGCACAAGGCAATGGGGACTAAGCTAAACTTCAGTACAGCTTTTCACCCACAGTCAGATGGTCAATCAGAGAGGACTATTCAAATTCTTGAAGACATGCTTCGAGCATGTGTCCTAGATCTTGGAGGAAGTTGGGAAAAACATCTACCATTAGTAGAATTTGCCTACAATAATAGCTATCAAACTACTATAGGAATAGCTCCTTATGGGGCTTTATATGGTAGGAGGTGCAGATCCCCAGCTCATTGGGATGAAGTTGGTGAGCGAAGAATTCTAGGGTCTGAGATTATTGAACGAACAGTCCAAGCTATTGAAAAGATTCGTGCTAGAATAAAAACCGCCCAAGACCGATAGAAAAGTTATGCAGATAACAGAAGGAAGGATCTTGAGTCTGAGGTTGGTGACAAAGTTTTTCTAAAAATAGCTCCTATGAAGGGAGTTATTCATTTTGGCAAAAGGGGAAAGCTTCAACCAAGATATATAGGACCTTTTGAGGTTTTGAAGCGTGTGGGAACTGTGGCTTATGAGCTGGCATTGCCTCCCGAACTTTCAGCAGTACACAATGTCTTTCATGTCTCTATGCTTCGAAAATACATATCAGACCCTAGCCACGTGATTAATTCTAAATCGTTAGACATTCACCCAGATCTAACTTATGAGGAAACTCCAATAATCATCTTGGATAGGAAGTTTCGAACACTTCGAAATAGAGATATTCCATTGGTAAAAGTTCAATGGCGAAATCACGCAGTGGAAGAGTCTACTTGGGAACACGAGGCTGATGTTAAAGCTAAATACCCTCAACTTTTCGATAAACAAGGTAAATTTCGAGGATGAAATTTTTTTAAGGAGGGGAGGATGTAATACCCAAAATAAATAAATAAATAAATCATAAATATATTATGAGGCATAAAATGTATGAAATTAAATTTTAATATTATTTTGGATATATATTGAATTATTGGATAAAATGAAGTTTAAATAAATTAGTATTTTAACATATTTATACTAGAATCTTATCCTCATGTAATTAGGATTTTATGTGGTAAAATTATTTGTTAAGAGTCCTATTTGAATTCAAATTAAGAGATTTTATTAGAAGTCTAAATGGGTAACTCATCCTAATCTAATGACCATTATTTAATGATCTCGAGCCTTGCACTTATTTCATACTAAACTACAGAAAGCAGAAAACGTGAGAAAGAAAGAAAGAAAGAAACAGAAGAGATAAAGAGAGGAAGAAAGTAGTAGAGAGAGAGAGAGGTAGAAGAGAAAACATAAAGAAGGAAGAAAAGAAAAGAAAATTTTTCAACGCGTTCGAGATCTGTTCGCAAGAATTTTCAATCCTAAATAGTTCAAGTATACAAGGAATTTATCGAATAGGTATGGATTTCTCTAAATGCTCAGTGATTTTGTGTTTTCACTTTTTAATATTTTAAGTTAAGTATTTTATGTGCTACTATGTGATTCAAAGTAAAGAAAAATGTTATGAAAAATACCATAGGGTATTATCATGTAGATCTACACGAAAACCAGCCACAGGGCTAAATACCTTAAGTGGAGATTGAGAATGGATTTGACCTAAGTGAGAATGAGACGGTCAGATTTCTATCCCACTAGAAAGTTATGTTGTGTGCGTATTTTACTTACTTTTTATATTAAACTGTGAAAATACTGACATGAAATCTACACTTAGTATATTCATATACTCATTCCATATTCTAAATTATTTTTACAGATGCCTGATGAATCGAAGTTGGAAGTTGAGACTGTTGACAGAGTCCGTGTTGCTGGATCAAGAATTTAATATTTTTCTTTTCATATTTAGTATTTAGTTAGAAAATATTTTTTTTCTTCAAATTAGAATTTTATTTTTAAATCAATGTTGAATTTTAAAAAAATATGTACTAGATTCATAGTACAACAATGAATTAGATTAATTGATATTTTATGAGACAATAACATAACTTGTTTTTATTCTGCAAAGTTTTCTTCAAATTTTTTGTATCATAATGTGTCGACTAATTTTTATAACCTCCGAAGCATAGGTTTCGAAACGTTACACTTCTTCTTTTGGATCTAAAAGGATCATATCACTTGATCTTGATCTATGATACTGATAGTTTTGGAATCTTTTTTATCCCCACGTATTATCACTTTTTTAGTTGATGTTGAATCTCCTTTTTTATCAATTGATATGGTATTACGTCTGGGTCCATTGCTGCTTCCAGCTATCCCTGTTTGGTATTGATTTGGAAAACACATTTCTTAGCTCTTTGGTATATCTATCTCAGACAGAATATCTTTTAGTTACGCTGCAATAGCATCAACTTGATTTTTGAGTTCTATGGTTTCTTTATGATGCTTAGTAACAATATTTTTATATTTGAGTTGAACATCTTTGAGATCTGTGTTGCTCCAGTATTTATGTCTTCGGATTCTTCTTTAAGAAAATCTACCATTTTTTGTATATGTATGATAAATTGATATAAATTCATGACCCTGACTTTATCCATCAGCAAATTCTATGTTTCTGCTGAGAAAATTTGTAAGAAAATTATTAACTTTTTTAATATGAATTATATTAAAATTATAAAATGCTAAATAAGCTTGCCATCTATGAAGCATTTGTATTGAGGTTCTGATGGTAGTTTATTCCTGATTAATCCTGCAACTTGAGAATTATCAGTTTCAACAGTAGATTTCTTTAATAATAAAAATAATGAGAACTTTTTTATTCCTATAATAATTATTAGTAATTCTTTTTCATGAACGGTATAATTTATTTCTACTTGATTAAATGTTCTACTTGAATATCTACAAATCTCATTTAGATCTGTTTTTAATATTGCTGCCCAATATTTATCTGAGGCATCTGTATTCACAATCAAATTATCTTTTTCATCTGATAATCTTAATTTTGGTAAATTTTTACATTCTTCTTTTAATGATTTAACTATTTCTGTATGTTTTTCATTCCATCCTTTAGTATTTGATTTTCTTAACAAAATTTGTATTTTATATCTAACAAAATTTGTATTTTATATCTTTTCTTAAAAAGATTTTCAATAAATCCTTCATCATAATTTAAACATCCTAAGAATTTTTGCATTTGTTCTTTGAATTCTATTAATCTGGAAAATTTTCTATCTTTATAAATATATGAGTCTGTAATTTTATTTCTCTTTTATCTATTGATAATCCAAGAAAGTCTATTTTTTATTTTTCTATTATAGATTTATTTTTAGAAAGTACAATTCCTTTTTTTTTTTTTTACATTCATTAATAAATTGTAATAAATGATTTTTATGTTCGTTTTTACTATTGAAACATATTAGTATATCTTTACACTCTTAAAAGAGAGGCTTTTGGTACTGTTCATTTATGTCACAGTCGTTTTCACACTTGATTCCAATTTATCCGATTTTGCTACATTAGTTTGTCCTTTTCTTTTCTTTTTTTCCTCCTTTTCATTGTTTTCCCACTTTACCCTTGAAAATCCCACCCTACATTAATTAACACATTGAGGGCTTAATGGTCACTTGCGCCCACAGTTGTTGACTTTGCACAGACAAGTTTTTTTTTTTAATTTTAATTTTAATTTTTTCAATTATACTATTAATATATTTTTTTTGTAAACTTTTTAAGAAACGCGTTTGATGTAATTTTAACTATTTTCGATATTAATTTAGATCAATTCGATGAGTCCATAATATAGTTCTTGAAACGAGTTCGATAAAATATAGACAATATATTTTTTATAGATGTTGCGTTAAAAAAAATGACGAGTTATACGCATTTTAAATTTGACGTCAAACTATAATTGGGGATTTGGAAGGGAAAACGGCGAAATTTGACCTCGAAAACGATGTCCACCAAGCGAAGCTAGGTGGCCATGACGTGCGTGTCGAAAAGAGCTTTCTGAATTGGAGTCATGGGCTCAATTCCAATAACTGTAGCAAAACTTATAGCCAAATTAGACACTCTGCGCTGTGCAGAGTGCTTCACAAATTTTTTTTTTTTTTTTTTTTACGGATTGTTTTTGTAATTCGACCATAACTTTGGCTACGGTTGTCAGAATCGTGCCCATGACCCCAATTCGGAAAGCTCTTTTCGACGCGCACGTCGTGGCCACCTCGCTAGGCTGGGTGGACATCGTTTTCGA